TGAAAATAAGTTTAGCACACATATATGTAATTTGGAATGTGGTTATGTATTTTTAAAACAGCACTAAACAACCTAAATAGTATAGATAGTATTTATTGGAAAAGTTAATATTTTCGTAGGGGTTAACCCACATATTTCAAGATAAATTAAAAATATGAAACTTTTAATTTAATACATTGATGCATCATGCACTGACATAGTATGAATATTAAAGAGGTTTTAGACCATATATATTCCCATTTATTCATAAAATTGAGATTTTTATAGGGTATAGTCTACTTATTAGGTTATATATGAAGTTTAAATAAATTAGTCATTTGATAATTAGAAGTGATGCCCATTTGCCAAGAAAATAAGTTTAGAACACATATATATAAAATTGGAATGTGGTTAGGTATTTTTAAAACAACATTAAAGAACCTAAATATTATAGAAAATATTTATTTGAAAATCAGTATTTTCGTAGGGGTTAACCCACATATTTCAAGATAAATTAAAAATATGATTTTTTTTTTGTTTTAGTGCATTGTTGCATCATGCACTGATATAGTATGAATATTAAAGAGGTTTGAAAATTTAGATATTCCCATTTCTTCATAAAATTGATATTTTTATAAGGTCTAGTCCATTTATTAGGTGGTATATGAAGTTTAGTAATTTAGTCATTTTATAATTAGAAATAATGCACATTTTCCATGAAAATAACTTTAGCACACATATTTATAAATTTTGAATGTGGTTAGGTACTTTTAAAACAAAACTATAGGACCTATATAGTATAGATAGTATTTATTGGAAAATTCAATATTTTCGTAGGGGTTAACCCACATATTTCAAGATAAATTAGTAAATATAAAAATTTTATTTTAGTGCGTTGATGCATCATTCACAGACATACTATGAATAATAAAGAGTCTTGAAACCTTAGATATCCCCATTTCTTTAGAAATTGAGATTTTTATAGGGTTTAGTCCACTTATTAGGTGGTATATGAAGTTTAAATAAATTAGTCATTTGATAATTAGAAGTGATGCCCGTTTTCCATGAAAATAAGTTTAGCACATATATATAAATTTAGTTAGGTATTTTTAAAACAACACTAAAGAACCTTAATAGTTTAGATGGTATTTATTGGGAAAAAAAACAATATTTTCGTAGAGGTTAACCCACATATTTCAAGATAAATTAAAAATATGATATTTTTGTTTTAGTGCATAGTTGCATCATGTACTGACATTGTGTGAATATTTAAGAGGTTTGAGACCTTAGATATTCCCATTTATTCATAAAAGTGAGATTTTTATAGGGTTTAGTCTACTTATTTGGTTATATATGAAGTTTAAATAAATTAGTCATTTGATAATTTGAATTGATGCCCATTTTCCATGAAAATAAGTTTAGCACATATATATACATTTAGAATGTAGTTAGGTATTTTTAAAACAACACTAAAGAACCTAAATAGTTTAGATGGTATTTATTGGAAAAAAAAATCAATATTTTCGTAGAGGTTAACCCACATATTTCAAGATAAATTAAAAAACAAAATATGATATTTTTGTTTTAGTGCATAGTTGCATCATGTACTGACATAGTATGAATATTTAAGAGGTGTGAGACCTTAGATATTCCCATTTATTCATAAAATTGAGATTTTTATATGGTTTAGGACGCTTAATAGTTGGTATATGAGGTTTAACAAATTATTCATTTGATAATTAGAAGTGTTGCCTGTTTTCCATGAAACTATGTTTAGCACACATATATATAAATTTGGAATGTGGTTAGGTATTTTTAAAACAACACTAAAGAACCTAAATAGTTTAGATGGTATTTAGTGGAAAAATCAATATTTTCGTAGAGGTTAACCCACATATTTCAAGATAAATTGAAAAAAATATGATATTTTTGTTTTAATGCATAGTTGCATCATGCACTAACATTCTAACGTAGTATGAATATTAAAGAGGATTTAGACCTTAGATATTCCCATTTATTCATAAAATTGAGATTTTTATAGGGCTTGTCCACTTATTTGGTGGTATATTAAGTTTAAATAAATTAGTCATTTGATAATTAGAAGTGATGCCCATTTGCCATGAAAATAAGTTTAGAACACATATATATAAATTTGGAATGTAGTTAGGTATTTTTAAAACAACACTAAAGAACCTAAATAGTTTAGATGGTATTTATTGGAAAAATCAATATTTTCATAGAGGTTAACCCACATATTTCAAGATAAATTAAAAAAATGATATTTTTGTTTTAATGCATAGTTTCATCATGCACTGACATAGTATGAATATCAAACATGTTTTAGACCTTAAATAGTCCCATTTATTTGTAAAATTGAGATTTTATAGGGTCTAGTCTACTTATTAGGTTATATATGAAGTTTAAATAAATTAGTCATTTGATAATTAGAAGGGATGCATGTTTTCCATGAAAATAAGTTTAGCACACATATATATAAACTTGGAATGTGGTTAGGTATTTTTAAAACAACACTAAAGAACCTAAATAGTACAGATGGTATTTATTGGGAAAATAAATATTTTTGTAGAGGTTAACCCATATATTTCAAGATAAATGAAAAAATATGATATTTTTTTAATGCATAGTTGCATCGTGCACTGGCCTATAATGAATATTAAAGAGGTTTGAGATCTTAGATGCTCCCCTTTTGTTCATAAAATAGAGATTTTTATAGGGTTTAGTCCACTTCTTAAGTAGTATATGAAGTTTAAATAAATTAGTCATTTGATAATTAAAAGGGGTGCCCATTTGCCATGAAAATAATTTTAGAACACATATATATCAATTTGGAATGTGGTTAGGTATTTTTAAAGCAACGTTAAAAAACCTAAATAGTATAGATAGTATTTATTGAAAAATTCAATATTTCCGTAGGGGTTAACCCAAATATTTCAATAATAGAAAATATGAATTTTTTTGTTTTAATGCATTGATGCATCATGCACTTATATCCCCTATATATTAATTGAGAATCATTTAAAAAGTTGTAACCTTAAGTTTATAATAATTAAAAATAACTGCAATCCTATGTGGCATAGCTCTTTGGCTTCTATTTCAAATTTCAAGGATTCTAAAGCTTGTGATATATTTTATAGTATACAATTTATACTCTCTAGCAATATAATATTTCGTAGGCTATAGTTGTTCGCATATATCAAATATTTATTGTTTCGCATGCTTTCCTTAAATAAAACCTACGGAATTACCTAATGTGATTAAAATATATATATATATATGACAATTAATGATTTTAAACAATAAAGATTTGATAACAATATGTATACTTTTTCATTTTGTTTATTTCTTTATTATTAAAACAAATTACATAATTACATTAATCATATAATAAAAATCTAGATTTTTTTTGTGTATGTTGTATTTCGAATTTTTTAAAATGAGTATAAATTACTAAAACTGTTAAAAGTCTCACATAAAATTTTAGGATCAAGGTTTTAATTTTTTTCTATATAAAAATATAATGATTATAAGACCATATGAAGAAATAATTTTAATTTATATATACTTCATTTCGTTTTAATTAAACTATACATCGTATGAAAATATATACTTATATTTTGATATTTGCATTGAACACATATTGAAGAGTTAATATTTTAATTTTGAAATATGTCAATTTTTAAAAAAATGATTATTTTGATTTATTTACCCTAATTGTGAATAAACAAGAGTGAAAGTTAAATTTATATGCATACGCCAATTTATTACATAATAGTAACTGATTTCTTAGTTATTTAATATATATAGTTATTATTTTATTATTTTATAATATGCAGAAAATATAAAATAAATATAAAATATAAAATATATATTGTGCATAAAGTGCAGATCTTAACCTAAGTATGTATCTCTTTAATTATTTTAAATCTTAAGTATTTCCTAAATCCCATGTCTAAACAAACAAACGAAATGAGAATAAACTTCAAAATAAATATTTATATCGAGTAATAACCAAAATAAAAAAAAAAAACTGAACAAGAGAAAAAAATGGAAGATAAATAGGATTGACACGTGAACGTAAACTTCTCATAACCATAATTAGTTTTTAAACTGTTAAATCATAATATAAAACTGAGTTAATGTTTAATTTGTTAATTTTTAAACAAATTGTTATGTTAAATCATAACCATAACTAATTTTAAATTGTTTATTTGTATTTGAAAAGCTTAAACTATTGTATTTAAAAATAATTTAAAATTTAAATTAATTTTTATAAAATTATTTTTAAAAAAGTTGTAAAAAAATATAATTTTCTAATATTATTAGACAAATAAATAAATTATATTAAATTAGTTTTAAAACTTATATATTTTAAATGCAAATATTTTACCAAGTGCTTCTTTAGAAAGCATTAGAGAACTTGCTAATACTCTACCAATCAAGCCCAGTGACACTCCGTTTATTTTCCACCACTCGAACACTGAAAAGTGAAAAGATATATGAAGTCGTGTCCATTTATATTCTAAGCTTTGATCTACAGTTCTAGTTACAATTGTTTCTGATCCTACGTATAGATAATTATATAAAAATTTCAAAATTCTAAAATTTCAAATACATATAAAAAAATTCATATGTAAATTTTAAATTTGTCAATATTAAAATTCTATATTTTAAATTCACCATGAGCAAGGCGCATGTCTTATCCTAGTAGTATGAATATTAAAGAGATTTGAAAATTATATATTCTTATTTCTTTAAAAAATTGAGAATTTTATAAGGTTTAGTTCATTTATTAGTTGGTATATGAAATTTAAATAAATTAGTCATTTGATAATAAGAAGTGATGCCCATTTGCCATGAAAATAAAGTTTACATATATGTAATTTGGAATACTGTTATGTATTTTTAAAACAACATATTCATGAAGGTTGCATCTACGAAGGTATTATCGAATAAATTTCAGATGGTCCCCAATCAAAATCTTGGTTTTGTTAACGATTTGCCATTAATATATTATCGAATAAATTTCGGAATAACAAAAGTGTTCTTAATCCAAACATAAGAAAAGAATGACTAAACAAAGATATGAATAAACAATTAACAATGTGTAAGAATAAAGAGGAAGACAATGGAGAAACAACATAAGATTACTGAGTAATTACCTTAATCAATCTAATAGATATCTGATTACTGTGTTTATTCATGAAGGTTGCATCTACGAAGATAAGGGTGATCAAACTTGATGTACTTGGTCCAATACGGTCGATACTTGGACATGGCTAACTCCAACCATGGTTTCATGTTCCCGTTATAGTGAACCACTGCTGCGTTCTGAATGTCCTTCTTAGCGATACTCGGGTTGTAACCAAGTCCCAACACGTGCCACGACTTGTCTAAAGGATGTGTTAGTCCGTAAAACGTTATTAATCCTGGTGGTAATGTCCCTAGCTTCCATAGTGTCCTGTTCTCATTCTAAACAACAATAACCAAAAAACCATTAATACAACATCATGAGACTATTGGTGTGCATTGGGTGAAGAGTTACCATGTTTTGCCACTTATGGTAGATACCAGTGATGTCTCTCTTCTTCCACTCCTTGAGGTCGAACATGTTCATCCCATAAGCCCATCCACAAGCGTTTGGATTGAAGTTTCTCGCGATGTGAGGATTCGAGAAGTTGAGATACTTGTCGAACCTGTGGAAACTCTCCCCGCAGGTTTCGACTGCACCGTTGACTTTCCCGTTCAAGTTGACTTCCCAGAGTGGAGTCAGGTCTTTCTGGACGATGATGTCGTCGTCCAAGAACAGGATTTTGTTCAGCTTGGGGTAGACCTCAGGGAGGTAGAATCTCAAGTGATTCAACATGGACAGGTACTTTGGGTTTCTGTATTTGAGATTCGAAGAGCCTGAGCTGGGATGGTCTGCTTTGAAGTAGTACTCTTTCATCGCTGCAGATTCGAGCTGACGAAGAACAGGGCAGTAAGATGAGTTGAGCCACTTGAACTCATCCACGTTTTCCACATGTATGGTTGCTTTTCCTGGTGGGTTTAGGAGGAACCACATGTTCATTGCTGCGAAGTTGAGTTTATCTGTCACAAGGTGAAAAACATGCTTGGAAGGATCCTGAGGAACAAAAAAATAAGTTCAGTAAACAAATCCATTTTCAGTTTCAAGTGATAAGAGATGATTGTTTTTACCTTTGCATTCATGATGGTTGAGTTAACAACCACTGAAGCAGCTAATACATTGTCAGAAAAGAGGGCGTAGTGATAAAGATTTGGGTTTTCTCGGTTTTCACGGCGAGGGAACTTTCTTTTCTCCGGAGAAAGAAGATAGTAATCAATGGTCAAGCGCATTGATAGGCAGTGGATAGGATTTGGAATTGTTTTTGCTGCTAACTGAGCCAGAAAAGTACTCTGCTTCTTTAAGCTCCTGACTTGTTCATCAGCGGTTTGAAGCATTGCTCTCAGCTTTCCAGTAACCAACTTGCAGTCATATAACTGCATCTTAGCTTTAGACAAAGCTTGACCCATGTCTCTGAGTTTATCATGTGCACTACATGAAAAGTCATTCACAAAAAACGTTACTTTATGCAAAAAACACTAACACTGTGAAAAGAAGGTACATAGTAGAAAGAATTTTACCTACGAGGAAGATCAGCATCGGTTGTTGCTTCACCTAGAACACGTTGGCTGTCCTTGATTCGGGCCTGGAGTTCTTGTAACAACTCAGTCTTGTTTTTGAGTTTGGCAATACCACAATAGACTCTAGCCATGATCACTTGATCCCTCATCAAACGTATATTTGAATCAGAATTGTCATTCTCATTTTCTCTTCTCCAAATACTGTATTTTCCAAGGACTGCAGAATCAACAGACTTGGAGCGTTCGATGGCTGCATTTTCAAGCTTTAAAATAGTGTCATCGTTGCGCTGGACCAGCTCATTTGCTCGCATCTCACGCCTTTTCTCTCTTAGTTGCTGAAAATTTCAAGATGGATAAAGTAAATACAGGTAATGAATATGTTGCATCCAACTAAAAAGTAAATAAAATAATAATTACCCTTCTGTAGAACTTTGCAGGTGTCTCAGCTTTCTGATGGCTACCACCTGCATCAACGACAACATAGAAGGGATCAGAGATGGAAAGACTTCGAAACATATCAGAATGCAACTTATTAAATAAAAGGCCACTACCTTTTGAAGTAATGTCACGTTTTGCATTCATGACACCAGATGTTGTTTGATTCTGCTTCAAGTAGATCAAAAGTTTAAAACTTTGAGCCGAAATAATCGAAAAGCTAAGTAACAAACTAAACCACACCTGAGTGTGTCTAACGGAGGTGTCTACTTCCCGCCACGATGCAGAAAAATTGTTTTTCTTGAAAGAATCAAGACTAAAAGGACCCAAATCAGCTGTGCTAGCTGTGATAACATCCAATACCTGAGGAGGGGTTAAAATTTAGTAAGAAACGAGCTAACTTAAGAAAGAACAAACAACACTAACTATTCACTGATTGAAAGCTTGCCTCTTTAGAGAAAAGAGATCTAAGAGATTTCATAGCTAAACGTTCTCTCCAGTCAAGATCCTTCAAAACAACCAAATCCAATCCTCCAATTAAACAAACATTATTACTTGTGTCAAAGACTTGATAATATTCAAAAGAGAGTTTCAGCTCACCTGCTTCACTGAACCATTTGAATAATCTGCAACAATGAAAGTAAGCTCCTCAGATCTTATAATCAGTTTTACACACATCAAGCAAATAATCTCTACAACAAATGTAAATCAGATAAAAGGCGCAACAATGCAATTACCGTTAGAGGAATCAATGTACACTCCACGACCAACGAAGAAGACCAGAGGCGCGAAGACACAGAAAAAAACGAGGAGGATAAACGCAGATCGAGATCCACCACCACCACCTCTGATCCGATTAACTCCTCGTTTTAGCGCCATTCCTATAATTAATTAAGAAACAAACCCTAAATCAAGTAACGAACCTATTAATTGAAGAGGAAGTGAGATAAATAAAACAGATTCATACTCTGAATCTAGAAGAGATGAAGAACAATCCACGTCACAGAAGCTTCACGAGTGATAAACTAAAACGTCATTAAACAATTTTTTAACCAATCAAAGGGGGAAGATCTGATGATTCGAGCACAATCCGTGACGAAGAGTGAGTGATAATGGATGCGAAGAAGAAGAAGATGATGATTGGTATCACCGACAAATTAACCAATCGCTATCAACGCCAGGATCTGTGGCTTTTTCTCTCTTTTTTGCAGAGAACCTCACACGCACGCGTAGTCGTTGGCATATTATCCCAAATCCCAAAACCGAACCCGAACCGAAAAAACCAATCCGAAAATTACAAAACCCGAAGAGTTCCTATATTTCCAAATCCAGAAAACCGAACAAGTACCCGAATATTTAAAATATATTAAAAATATTAATTATTTTAAATTTTAATATATGTAAAATATAATTTATAAATAAAAATATCTAAAAAAAATCTGAATTATCCGGTAAACCTGAATATTTTTTCAGGGTTTTCCGGATTTAACTTGGGTTTTTGGGATTTTTTCGGTTTATTGGACTTTAAACCCGAACTAAACCTGAATTATTTGTAATACGGTTTCACTTCGGACTTTATAATAAAAAAGAAATCCGACCCGAACCCGACATTATCCAAACCGAACCACCTAAATATTCCAATCCGAATAACCCGGAAACCAAATAAACCGAACCGACCCAAACCGAAAACCCGAATGTCCAGGACTATGCACGCGTACTACTCTCTTTTGATCTCTTTATCAAATTTCTCAATTTGGAATCTCCTTTCCGGTTTGATCGGTTAAGGTTTAACCGAGATTATAACACAAAAAAATAATTACTGGGCCTTTATTGGGCTTTGAATATATTATAAGGCCGAACAAAAAAAAAGAGAAACGAAACATTTTAGTTGAGCCCGAAGGTTCTGAAGAGTAGTAAGGTTAGATTGTTGTGTGGTATATATATAAGGAGACGATGTGGTAACCCTAAAAAAACTCTCTCGCTTGTTGTTTGTCGTTGCCTGCTATCTCCGCCGTCTCTTGAGATTTTTTGCGAGGATGGTTAGTTCTCTTTCTTCTTCATAGCGTTTAAAGCATGATTCTTAGGTTGTTAGGAGGAATATAGCTGATTAGGAGTGTTGATTTCGTGTTTTGATTTGATATTAAGCTTTAAAGTTAGTTTCGTGTTTGTGTTTTTTTGTAATGGAATGTGATTGTCTTGATGTGAAATAGGTTCTTCAAAACGACATCGATCTGCTTAACCCACCAGCAGAGCTTGAGAAGAGGAAGCACAAGCTCAAGCGTCTTGTTCAAACTCCCAACTCATTTTTCATGGTACTTACTTATCTTAGTTTTGTTTTATTTGATTTTCTCTTAACCTATTAGTGCTTGGCCATTTATTAGTGGTTAATTAGATTTCTCTCTTTTAGAATTATAAAAATATAACTGCTTTGAATGTTATGGTCTCTGATTATGTTTTGTTGTAATTGTTAAACAATTATTGTAGGATGTGAAATGCCAAGGCTGCTTCAACATGTAAGCTCTCATCATTTAATTTTTGATATTACTTGGGCTGATGTAAGATAATAAAACTTAATGGGTTCTGTCTTTTTGGTATTGCAGCACTACTGTATTCAGTCACTCGCAGACAGTTGTTGTATGCGGAAACTGCCAGACAGTTCTTTGCCAGCCTACAGGAGGAAAAGCTAGGCTCACTGAAGGATGCTCTTTCAGGAAGAAGTGAGAGATTGATTTGAAGCTTTGAATCAATCATCAATTCAATCAAAAATGTTTTTTTTTTGGATGTTATGAATTTTGCTTATCTGTTTTGAAATAACTCGGTTGTTATTTAGAGAAATAAACCTTTGTTGACTTTTGGAGTTAAGTTTTTTGTCTATTTTAATGGTTTTCTTGCTTGGAGATTGTCACTGGATCACATGGAAAACTAAGTAAAAAAATGTATATAACAAATTGAACGAAAAACAGAGTTTATGAGAGAATATTGAACTTTATCAATAACCAGTAATATGATCTTAAATGTGTTTTTTTGTTTGAATAAACTCATTGATCACTTGATAATTAACACGCGCGGTTTAAAAAAAATTGAATGGACTACACATAGTATGCAGTATATGATTAGTTGAATACTCTACAATCCTAAATTTGTAAAACGATGAGTTTTATAAAAAGATTATTGTTGACAGTGGGATTTGAACCCACGCCCTTTCAGACCAGAACCTTAATCTGGCGCCTTAGACCAACTCGGCCATATCAACTTTGTTGTCCAAAAGCAAGCTACTATATATATTATTTTGTATTCCGAAATTATAAATTTCAAACAAAAAAAATTGAGTTTATTGAATTATTACTGGTTAAAAGTTTTAGAATTTGATAGCTGTAAAATTAATAAATTTATAATAGTGTAAATATGTGTGTAAATTCTAGAAAACTTACTTTTAAGGAACAGAATTAATATAATTTTTTTTACTATTTCATATATTGAGTGGACTGTGGATGTTTCATAAAACGCTGCCGTTACAAAATCCAATTTAACCACTCATCTTTGACTGGTCAAGAGCAGAGGCAGGAGGAAGTAATTAAAATTTAATTACCATCTTAACTTTTCTTAATGTGTTGCGAAATTGCTTAATCAAACATCACTCCCTCTTTCTCGGACGCTCCTTTCTCCAATCGTCGCTGCTCCTCTATCGTCCTCGCCGGCTAGATCCGTTTCTTTCTTCCACTCTGCATAGATAGGTGAGCCTGATCCTCCTTCAAGATCTGCGCATGTCTAGACCAGATCTCTTGTTTTGTTTTTCCTGTAATAACTTTCTTATGGTCGGACGTGACAACATCATCAGTTACATGGCGTTTTGTCTTTGTGGTCGGTCGTCAAATATGTTTTTTTTACGTTACATGACGTGACCGCTACGTCTTTTAGGTTACCGTGTTTCCCACGTTATGTGATCATTCCAAATTACTTGTTAACCTTTTCTCATCAGTTACATGGCGTTTTGTCTTGTCATGTGTACCTACACTAGTATATTCTTTTTTTACATTACATGCGGTAACTGTAACAACTTTTAGGTTAAATTAGGTTTCCGTGTGCCCCACGTTTCGTGATCATTTCCCATTACTTGTTAACCTTTTGTTTTCCCATTATCAGTTACATGGCGTTTTTTCTCTATCATGTGTACTCTATTATGTTTTATTTACATTACATGCCGTAACCGTTACGACTATTAGGTTAACGTATTCCCCACGTTTCGTGATCATTTCCCAACCTTTTGTTTTCCCGTAGGTTGTTGATAAGCATGGAAGAAGACGAAGAAAAGAAGTTATCTGAAGGAAACCTCGACGACGTTACTGATAAGCATGAGAGTAGAATAGATGCATTTGATATAGGAAACCCTAGTTTTCTCGCTAATGAAAACGCTCAGGTAGGGTTACAAACGATTAGTTCAGTTGACGCAGTACTCAAAGATGACCATTTCGAACAAGTTTCTCTAAGAGAAGAAACAACAAATCTAGATTCTCTGCCTCAATCACCAAACCCAAAGGTTACAATGCAAAACGTTTCTCCAGAGCTGCTGCATCTAGTTGATTCAGTCATCATGGGAAAGCCTGAAAGCTTACACAAACTAAAGAATCTTGTAAACGGCGTTGAGAATTTGGAGCCTGGAGATGATCCAGAGACTACTGCTTTCCTTGTTATTGACTCTCTTCTCGCTACAATGGGTGGTGTTGAGAGCTTTGAAGAGGATGAAGATAGTAACCCACCTAGTGTGATGCTAAACTCTCGTGCCGCCATTGTATCCGCTGAGCTCATCCCTAGCCTTCCTTGTGATAACGACAGTGCTACCTTCATGTCTCCTAGGACACGCATGGTGAGAGGGTTGCTAGCGATTCTACGTTCTTGTACTAGAAACAGAGCTATGTGTTCAACGGCAGGGCTGTTAAGTGTTCTCTTGAGATCACTGGAGGAGATACTTTCAAAAGACAGTG